TGTAGACGATTGTTGTTGGTCTTTTTTCTTACTTTCCAACTCTATAAGCCCTTTCAATTGTAATAGACTCATTTATTTTAAGGTCCTCTTTAATGAGGGTTTTAATTTTTTTCAATACATCTTCATTGGTTTCGTTTACTCCTTCTTTAATTCCCACTATTCTTAAATTATTTTGCCGGTTGCGATCTTCTAACTCAACAGTTTTGCGTTTGTTTTCTGTCGCCTCGTTTACTAACTTTCCTTGAAACGACTTTATCCCAATTATTGTTTCTTTTATTATCGCCATATTACTATCTACTTTGTTTACTTTGGTTTCAATATCATTTCCAACAAAAGTAAGTCCTCGTTTTATTTCCTCAACATCCTTTTCTAATATTAGTAGTCTTTCATTAATGCTGTTAAGGCTTTCTTTATAACATTTCAACATAGTATCAGCTTGAGCCGATAGCAGTTCTTTCAACATAACCATTGTAAGAAAATTTTCGCTTTCCATAATAGAAAAAAAAAATTAATTATAATAACTAATAAAATAAAAAATTATTATTTTTTATATTAAGGTTGTTTTTTTCTTTCTCTTTTTTTTTTCTTTATTAAACTTCTTCCGTTCACACGTCTGCTCTTGTTGCTTGCGTATTGCGTATCGATACTAAACTCATAAAGATGTTCTAGTCCTGAAAAAGTTTAAGAGACTTTCTAAAAGTCTTAATTTCTGTATAAACACACAAAAAAAATTTTAAAAAATGTTAATATTTTTAATATACAAGCAAAATGTCAAAATAGGGGCCGTAACATCACGTTTAACTTAAAAAGAAGAGAAATTTCTCTTCTTTTTAGGACTAGAACATCTTTAGGAGTTCGAAGACCTATGTAGGTCTTTGTTTCTTTCTCGAAATACTTTTTAAAATTTTTTTTGTGTGTTTATACAGGAATTAAGACTTTTAGAAAGTCTCTTTAACTTTTTCAGGACTAGAACATCTTTAGGAGTTTAGTATCGATACGCAATACGCAAGCAACAAGAGCAGACGTGTGAACGGAAGAAGTTTAATAAAGAAAAAAAAAAAAGAGAAAGAAAAAAACAACCTTTAAATAAAAAATAATAATTTTTTATTTTATTAGTTATTATAATTAATTTTTTTTTTCTATTATGGAAAGCGAAAATTTTCTTACAATGGTTATGTTGAAAGAACTGCTATCGGCTCAAGCTGATACTATGTTGAAATGTTTTAAAGAAAGCCTTAACAGCATTAATGAAAGACTACTAATATAATAATTAAACAAATAACTTTTTAATAATTTTTTTGCTTCCAGGTTCAAAATATGCGCTGAAAGTTATATATAGGCACATAGATTTTTTCACGTACGAACTAATTTTTAGGAAAATTGTTTAAATACATCAAAAAGGGTTCATTGCGGGTATATACTATAAATACTTTGTTGCCTATACCATATAAAATTTGCTGAAGGTACAGCGTAGACTTAGGGAGGGTACTATGTTCACCTCGATCATACTATTTTAATTGTTTTATTTATTAGTTTTTTGCATTTAAATAAAAACAACCAATAAAACAGAAAAAATTGTTTTTTTAAAGGGTGTTAAATAGAGCGGATTAATTCTAAAATAAATCCAACATAAAACTTTTTATAAGATTTGTAGAGCATCTATTTCTATTTTAAAGGCCTTATTTTCTTCTTTTTTTTTTTAAATCTAAGGATTAAAAAAAGGAAATATTTTTATTTTTAATTCATATAAATTTTTAACTTTTCTCCCTAAACTGAATAGAAATTGTTCTTTGTTTTATTAAATTTTAGATTTCAAATTCAAATTCTGTTCACTATTATTATTATTTTTTTAATGCTTCGAACGCTTATTTTAAATGTTTCCCTAATGGCACTAACGCACGAATGACTTACGTTACTATATTACAAGTGACTTGTTAAATATTAATTTGCGCTCCTTCGTGTTTCTTCTTATGAACGCAGTTAAGTCAAGATTGATATCGTATTAAATCAAATTTTAATTCGAGTTCTACTTTTAAAACACTCACTTTTTAAATATTTTGTTGTTTGATGTATTGTATTCGTTTCAAAATAGCATTCGGCAGCTAAATTTTATATTGAAATTTTATTATAAATAGTCAGTGAGAAATAATGATTTGCTAAATGAACCATTTTGTAGAACAAAATTTAATAAATTTTGGATAACTTATCGCGCAACTTACCTTTGGAATAAAACAGTATTGCCTAATCTTGATTCTTTAATTCGTTTTTCTGTTTTTAAAAATAAGTTAAAAAATTTTATTCTTGCTATGGATGACATTTTAAGTTACTGTTATTTTGAAATAAACCTTGATTTATGAGATTTATATTAATAGATTTATTTTCTTTGATTTATAACAGATTTATAAATATTTTTTAAATGAATTTTCATTACAGATTTATTATTATGAATTACTATTATTACAGATACAAGATTATTTTATAGGTTTATTATTATGGTCATTCTTTATATTTATATTTTAAGATTTTAGTATAATTTATTGTTTTCTGTATAATTTATTGCACTAAATTGTTTTTAAAATTGTAAAGGTTCTGATGATATGATCATTATGATCTTTTGTTTGTTTGTTCTTGTAAAAACAACAGGAACAACAACAACAAAATCATCTCTTTTCTTTTATAGAATGTATCGTTGTCTGAAATTGCATATAGGAGCAAAATTTAAAAAAGTGTTAACCTAGTATTTACTTGTAGAGCACGATGTTATTTACACATTCTCGTGTATTTTATGCTTGTTTAGACTTTCAAAAGACTTTGTTTAGGACATTTTTTTGAGCGTATTAAATTTAGTAGGTCTGTTCAAACAGTGGTAAGAACAATGTTAAATGAAATGAGCCTTTTGTTTTCTTCTGTTGACCTCAGCAAAGATCTGGCACGTTTAGGTTTAACTGATTAAAGTTTTCTTTTCAAAATGTCTTTTTAGAGTCTAATCAGTGAAAGAAAGATCAGTAATTTTACATAAAATGCTTCTTCAAGATTTTAAGATTATATTTGTTATAATAATCATAATTATAAAAGATAATAATGGTAACGATATCGACAAGTTCTCATTCAAAAAGAATGGGTTAGTAAAATTTTTTTATTGTAGTACCCAGGGCTGTGGAGTCGGAGTTGGGACATTTTTCGCGGAGTCGGAGTCGCTAAACGAAATCGCAACTCCGATTCCAATAGTAAAACTTCTCGGTACTGCACTTTCATGTACAAAACATTTAATTAACCTTATGTTCAAACTAAACCTCAACGAACGTTTCATAAACTTGTCAAAAAATTTTTTTTTAACTAATCGCGTAATATTTTTTAAAGAATTCAAAGAGTTTTTCAAAAATTTTGCTTTGGAATTGGAGTCGAAGTTAGAGTCGGAGTCGGTGTTGTACTAAAAAGATTTCAACAACTGGAGTCGGAATCGTTACTTTTTTGTTACGACTTCACACCCCTGGTAGTACCATCGTGATTCACACCCCTGGTAGTACCATCGTGATGACTTTTAATATTGATGCAAAAAACAAAGATTCTATAGTACTTTTTTTTTTTTTTTTTTACAACAATCATTATTAAATTTTTCAAAAACAAATAACATTTACATGTCTCCAGTTTATATAAATATCCCTCACAAATATTTACAATATTAACTGTTTTACGCATGCGCGTTTGACATCAAGTTAAAATAATAAATTTAAAAATTCGTAGTTCATAATATAAAGTGCTATTAACCCATGCATTCAAAAAATATACGCAAGTCCGTCGCACCACAGGGCTACAAGGGACTTGCTTGTCGTTGTCGTTGAAACTATATATTAATATATATTACTATGTATACACTATGTAGTTGTTTTATATTAATATATATTACTATGTATACACTATGTAGTTGTAAGGAAACATAGTAGAAGACTAAGAAAAGTCTTTTCATCGAGAACCTTTAAAATACAAAATAAACTAAAAGTTTAAAGAGTAAATCTATAAAACACACATTAACTTTTTGAAGTCATCTGTTCATTAATATTTTACTATATATAGTTGCTAACTATATGTATTTATTATATATCTTTTTTAATTTAGTTTTTATTTATTTTTTATTTTCTTTTTTATTTTTATAGCTTGAATTGTTCTTTTTACATTTTATTATTCAAATTGTTCTTTTATATTTAATACATATCGATAAAATTGATTTTGTTAATTATGGGATCTTTTAGTTTTTTCTTTAGGGTAATAAGATTATCCAGTTTAGTAAGTTCTATATTTTGAGGTATTATTTTGTTGTATAAATAAGGGCCACGGTATACAATTGAAAATCTCGAAAAATTTGTTTTTTTATGGCCAACGTAAAGTTTCCGGTTCCTCGTGTGATATATCTGTTGGCGTTGTTTTGAAAAAAGTTATTAGTAAAATGAGTTGGGACAAGTCCGAGCATATATTTGAGCATAAATAAAATATTTTGGTAGATCGTAATTTGATAGATAGTTAAAGCATTTAAGTTTTTAAATAAAGGATCGGCGTGAGTGAATTTATTTTTATTATAAAGGGGTGGGTTGATTTTGTAATAAATAGTGCGTACGCAGAGAGAAGGAGGGTGGGTGGGTAAGAGGGATGTTAAAAACGTGCAAGTATGGAGGGGGCCACAAATCCTTAGTATTACTGTGTAAGTACTTTATGGATGTCCCCTAACGGCAATTTCTGTATTATTTTAATCATGGAAGTATTATAGTATTATATTTTTAGTACTTTCATGTTTTTTATAGCATTTTTGATAATGTTTTATAAAATACTTTTTTGAAGTAACTCCTGCATTTTGAACAATTATTCAGTGCTTCCTAATAAACTAAAATGCGTACTTTGAAACTAAGAGATCTTTGTTTTAAAAATTCTATTTACCCATGCTTTTTTACGGCCATTATTAATGTATATAAGAATGATCTTCTAAATCATTTTTTTTTAACTTGCGATAAGTTAAGTTTATCTGTCATAAGCCCGAGCGTGAACTTTTCCATATAATGCTGTTCGGCCGCAATCTTTGAATATTATACCAATTTTATGTCAGCTTGACTTTAAATTTAATATTACTGACAAAATGCAGAGTCGTGATGAATTCTCTCAAAGCCCTTATTTAGAGAGTTCTTTTCACTCAAAGAAATCGAAGAAATCAAAGAAAAGAAAGCATGAACGAAGGGAAACTGAAAGAGAAAGCGGGGAATATCACAAGTAAAACCAGAAC